ATCTTTCTGTTACTGATTTCTTTTTTTTTTTTTTTAAAGATTTTATTTATTTATTTGACAGACAGAGATTACAAGTAGGCAGAGAGGTAGGCAGAGAGAGAGGGGGAAGCAGGCTCCCCACCGAGGAGAGAGCCCGATGCGGGGCTCGATCCCAGGACCCTGGGATCATGACCTGAGCCGAAGGCAGAGGCTTTAACCCACTGAGCCACCCAGGCGCCCCTTTCTGTTACTGATTTCTAATGTGATTCCACTGTAACCAGAAATCACATTCTGCACAAGTTTAACTCTTTTAAATTTTTTGAGGTTTATTTTATGGCCCAGGATATGGTCTACCATCATATATGTTCCATGATCACATATGGGCATTCTGTTGTTGTTCAGTAGAATCTAATTCTGTAAATGTCAATTAGATCTTCCTGGTTAATGGTATTATTGAGTTCTTTTGTAATGTTGCTAGTTTTTCTCTCTGTTATTCTATCCTTTTTTGAGAGAGGAATGTTGAAGTCTCCAACTATAACTGCAGATTTGTTTGTTTCTCCTTTCTGTTCTTTAATTCTTTTTGTTGTTGCTCTTGTTGTTTGGTGCATACACATTTAGAATTTTTAGATCTTCTTGGTGGATTGATCTTTTAATCATTATATGATGCTTTTTCTGTCTCTGGTAATTGTCTTTGCTTTGAAGTCTACTTTATTTGGTATTAATATGACCACTCCTGATCTCCACTGATTGATGTTTGCTTGATGTATCTTTTTCCATACTGTTACTTTCTTTTTTTTTTTTTTAAGATTTTATTTATTTATTTGACAGAGAAAGAGACCACAAGTAGGCAGAGAGGCAGACAGAGAGAGGGGGAAACAGGCCCCCCACCGAGCAGAGAGTCCAATGTGTGGCTCGATCCCAGGATCCTGAGATCATGACCTGAGCTGAAGGCAGAGGGCTTAACTCACTGAGCCAGCCAGGCACCCCTTTCTTTTTTTTAAGTTTATTTATTTATTTGAGAGGGAGGGAGAGAAAGTGTGTGCAAGTGGGGGGAGGGGCAGAAAGAGGACAAGAGACACTCTCAAGCAGATTCCCTGCAAAACACAGAGCCTGACACAGGGCCTAATCTCATGACCCTAAGATCATGACCTGACTCCAAATCAGGAGTTAGATGCTTAAGTGACTGAGCCACGCAGGTGCCCATCCAGCCTGTTACTTTCAACTTGCCTATATTATTTAACTTACTTATTTGAAGTGAGTTTCTTGTAGACAGCATACAGTTGGATCACGTTTTTTAATCCAATCTGCAGGCTTTGTACTTTAATTGATATATTTAGAACATTTATATTTAATGTGATTATTGATGTGTTAGGGCTTAACTCTATCATTTTATTTTTTGTTTTCTGTTTGTTGCCACTGTTTTACATTTCTGTTTCCTTTTTCCTATTTTTCTATGGCCTGCTTAAACATTTTTAAGATTTCCGTGTCTCTTTATCTACAGTGATTTCAAGTCTATCTGTAATAGCTTTTTTAGTAGTTGCTCTAAGAATTACATTACATATGTATAACTTATCAAAGTCTACTGATGACAGGATCCCTGGGTGGCTCAGTCAGTTAAGTGTTTGCCTTTGGCTCAGGTCATGATTCCACAGTTTTGGGATTGAGTCCAGCATCGGGGTCCTTGCTCAGTGAGGAGACTGCTTCTCCCTCTGCCTGCCTCTCCCCCTGCTTGTGCTCTCTCTCACCTCTCTGACAAATGAATAAATAAAATCTTTAAAAATAAATAAATAAACAAAGTCTACTGATGTCATCACTTTATCAATTCAAGCGAAGTACAGAAAACTTACCTTCATGAGCCTTTATCCTCCTCTATTTATAACATAATTGTCTTAACTATTTCTTCTATATATATTTATATCAGTTTTTGCTTCTAACATCAAACATAATTTAAAAACCTAAAGAGGAGAAGGGAAGATTATTGTACTTACCCACACTGTTGCTCACTGTAGTCTTTCTTTGCTCTATATTTTGTTTCCTTCTGTTTAAAGAACTCCCCTTAGTTTTCTCCTATGGTCTGAATGTTTGTGTCCCCACCAAATTCATATACTGAAGTCCCAATGCTCCTGTGATTATTAAGAGATGGAATCTTTGGAGGTGATTAAGTCTTGACAGTGGAGTCCTTGTGAAAGAGATAGTGCCCGTATAAAATAGGTCCAAGAGAGCTACCTGTCCCTTCCACCATGTGAGAAAACAGCAAGAAATCATCAATGTGGAACCCAGAAGGGGGTTTTCACCAGAACCTCAACCATGCTGGCACCTATATCTCAGACTACCAGCCTCCAAAACTGTGAGAAAGAAATGTCTGTTGTTTAGAAGACACTGGTCTTTGGTGTTTTGTTATTGCTGCCCAAACCACTGTTTTAGAATAGGTCTCCAGGAAACAAATTCTCCTAGTTTCCATTCATCTGAAGATGTCTCAAATTCTCCTTCATTTCTAAAGGATATTTTCACTGGGTATCAGATTCTGGGTTGACAGTTTTTTTCTTTCCATAATTTTGTGCCACTTTCTCCTGATTTTCATGGTTTCTGGTGATAAATTTCACTGTAATTCTCATTTTTCCCCTCCCTATAGGTAAGTTGTCATTTTTCTCCAGCTGCTTTCAAGGTTTTTTTTGTCTTTAATTTTTAGAAGTTTATAATATATCTTGTGACATTCTATAGATTTATCTTGTATAAGACACTCTTAGCTTCTTGAATCTGTAGATTTATCTTTCTTGCCTAATCTGGGAGTTTTTAACCATTATATCTTTTATTTTTAAGAGATTTTATTTATTTATTTATTAGAGAGAGAGAAAGCACGAGAAGGGGGAGGGTCAGAGAGAAGCAGACTCCCCGCCAAGCGGGGAGCCTGGTGTGGAGCTTGATCCTGGGACTCTAGGATCATGACCTGAGCCAAAGGCAGATGTTTAACTGACTGAGCCACCCAGGTACTCCAACCATTATTTCTTTGAGTATTTTTCCAGCCCCACTTCCTTCTCCTCTCCTGGCTTCAGTGACACAAATGCTGTATCTTTTGTTCTAGTCCCACTAACCCCTAAGGTTTTCTTCATTTTTTTTTTTCAGTTTATTTTTTCCTCTGTTGTTCTTATTGAGTGATTTCTATTATTCTATCTCCCAGTTCACAGATTTTTTTTTTCCCCTTTCTCCCCTCTATTCTGCTACTGACTCCATCCGTTAAACTTCTACTTTGGTTATGTATTCTCAGTCCTAAATTTTCCATTAGGTCTTTATAGCTTTTATTTCTCTGCCATGACTTTTTATTTCTTTGCTGTAGCTTTCTATTTTTTCATTTCTTTCTAGGAGCTTTTAATTGCTTTTTGAATCATTTTTATCATGGCTGCTTTGAAATCTTGGTTGTGTAATTTTAATATCCCAGTCATCTCATGTTGGCATCTTTTTTCATTTGGTTTGAGATCTTCCTGGTTCCTGGTATGAAAAGATTTTTTATGAGCTTGGAAATTTTCATATTATGTTTTAAGACTCTTGTTCTTATTTAAGCCTTCTTTTTCATCTACGCTGGTCTGACACTGCTTCAGCCAGGGAAGAACAGTGCCACCTCATCACTATCAGGTGGAAGTAGAAGTGCAGGCTCCCCACCTGGCCTCATTGAAACTTGAGGAGAAGAGCTCTTAACTACTGATAGGATGGGGTGGTAGTTTGAAATCCCCACATGGTCTCCACTAACACACAGAGAGGGAGGGTTGTTACTGGCCGACAGAGAGGAAAGTTCCAGCTTCTTCCTTGGCTTTTCTGATACCACCCCTTTGGGAATATTGGGGCACCTTTTTACAGCCTCAGAGTGGTAAAATTCTGAGCTCCTCACTTGGACTTTGTTGCTATGGATAGGGCCCAAGGTTTTTCTTTGGTATCTTGCTGAAGTAGAGTGGCTATTGTCTAAGTTTTCTGTTTTTTTTTTTTTTTTTTTTTTTTAGGCTGCTCCTTTCCTAATCCTTTAGCTAATGATAACTGTCTTTTGTTAGGGTTTTTTTTCGTCAGCACTTGTTGGTGTGTCTGGGATGCTATCATCTTAGCTCCAAGTCTGGGATTTAGCTTATAAAACCCAGAGAACTCACCATCACATTGTTCCTTGAATCCTGAATCTCCTAGTTAATTGTCTTCTTCTCTTCACCTTTCAGAGTCTTCTTATGTTGTATACATAATGTCCAATGTATTTCGTAGAATTATAGGGAACATCTCCTATATTTAAGGCATGGGGGACACAAAGACTAAAACATTTAAAAAATGCAAACTATTAAATAAGTAAAATGGAATCAAGTAATTGTGATTCAGTGCTATGGGGATATGAAAAAGGCATGTATAATTATGAATAGAGATTTAGTGAAGGGATTCACAGAAATAGCATAAGCTAGGTTGGGAATGATTTGTTCATTCAGTAGTTACCACCTGCCTACTTTATACTAGGTTCCTTGATGATGGCTGTAGAATGAATGGTATTTTGACAGAGATCGGGAAATGGAGTGGCACAGATGGCAGGGTAGGCACTCAAGCAATAAGGACAGCTGAAACACACATATAAATTTGGGGTGCCAAACAGAACTTACTAAAACTATAAGCAGTGCTGTTTGAAAACTCATTAAATTTGGAAACACTAAATTATACTAATAGTGTTATTAGCTAACTTTCATTTACTCTATGTGCCAGATACCATAGATAAGTGATTTATATGAAGCATTTTATTTAATGCTCATATCAAGCATATTCAGTAGGTATTATCCAAACTTTAGAGATGAGGAGCCTCAGGCTTAGAAAAATAAGTAACATATCTATAATCATACAGTTAGAAAGTAAGGGAGCTAGGATTCAACCTAAAGCAGTCTGAGTAAAAAGTCTCTATCTTACCCACTACACTAGCATATAGCAGGCAATAAATTATGGAATTTAGCAAAGCCTTTAAAGATGCTTACCTTGGGGTTTTCATGTACATGAATGTTGTTTTACAGATGTAGATGTCATGCACCTGGGCAAAAAAGTCAGCATCCCCAGAGACATCATGTTGGAAGAATTATCCCATCTCAGTAATCGTGGCGCCAGACTATTTAAGATGCGACAAAGAAGATCTGATAAATACACATTTGAAAACTTCCAGTATGAATCTAAAGCACAAATAAATGTAGGTATAACTTGATTATGTGGTGTCTAAATAAAGAGGTAGCATTTCTAAGTGTATCTGTATCACTGGATTCTCAAACAAGTATTTTACATATTTATTCAATGTATTTTTTCTGTGGATTTTGTTAGATCTTTTTTTATGATAATAAATAGTTTAGATGAACAAACAAAAGAAGTATTATATATGTTATGAGTATCTTTTTAGTTCAGTAGGGACATGGCAAACCCATAAATTTGGCACTGAAAAGCTGGTGTGTTCTGCTAAGAGGAGGGAGAGGGAGTAGAAATTGGCGGAACTAAAAGTTTCCATGGTCTTATCTCTACTAGTTAAATGTTTGGGATGGAAATACTTCCAAAGCACACAGCACTCCACAAAGTAAGCATAAACATTTTGCTGGCTGAATACATCCTGGCACTGAAACGTGCCTGAGAGCTACAGACATAGTTGAGCTTCTCTCCCTCAAAGCATTTATTCCACATCATATAAGGAAGTCTGATACCTATTAATAACAAAACCAAGGTGGACAAAACTCTTTAGACCAAAGTTTTCCTCAGCTGAAAAATAATAAACAAATGAACAGACAAATTAATTACATTATATTTTACATACTGCACTTATACTATGTTCTTTTAAACTGTCATGTAGAGAGGAAAACAACTAGTTTTGGGGGATTGGCTTTAAAATTAAAATACCAAGCATGAAGAATCAAAAGGGAATAAAGAACTGGTTCTAAATTTAAAGAGGTGGTGGAGACTATAACAAATTTAAATTTTATTTACTGAGGGTTTCTTCCTACAGCTATGGGAAGTCTGTAAATTTACTTGTGAATTTAAACCCTACCATTTGCTAGCTGCCATCACAAATCAGTTGTTTTGAATGGACATCTCACTTCTTTTCAAGAAACAGACTAGTTTCACTGAGATCTTTTATAGTTAGTTATATAACTAACATCTGCATCCAGAAACACTGAAATGTTAGTTATTCAAAATGTCTGTTTCTCTGGTTAACAATAAATGGAGAACAACTTAAATGAAATAATTTATTTTGCACATTAACAAGGCTTATCCAACATGCATAAAGTGTAGTTATAACTATGAATTTAGTTAGACATCAAATCTTACTGAACTACAGTATTTACATTTGTGAGGGATGATTTTTCACTTGAAGTCATGGATAAATATAATGTTATGTTACTTTATAATTATGTCTGATATCTAGTTATCAAAAATGATCGTAGCTAATCCAGTGTGAGACTAAAATAATCCCTATCTCAGCTGATGGAGTCTAATTATATAATTATATTCTTTTAATAATGACAACAGCTTTAAGGAGTAGTATAAAATAAGGCGGCTTAAGGAAATTCTTTGAGAAGTCATCTACAAGTCTAGACATCTGAATAAATGAGTAAATCCAGTTTTCATAACTTATACTTACATATTTAAGTCTATGCTTTAACTACAGTTCTGGAACAAGGGACAATGAGTGTTTAAATGTAATTATAAACACAACATATTCCCTCATCTCGTGTCTGAGTTTATTTTCATTAACCTGTGGCCAAATGTTCTAATTATACATAAAATCTAAGAACATGCTTTGATAGTTTTTCAGTATTCCTAGAAAGTTGGACACTAAATAAATAAAATAGTCCAAAATAGGCATATTGAAATAAACAATTAAATGCTGATAAGTAACTTAGAGCAACAAACAATTTAATGTATGCCATGAACTTGTATGTCATTGAGTTCCATAACATACATACTCTGAAGTCTGATGAAATCTACTCTCTCTTTAGAAATGAGGAACGTAAAAAAAAAAAAAAAAAAAAAAAAAAAGAAATGAGGAACGTAGTGTTCAAGGAAGTATATTCATTTATCTTAAGCAACACTATAATAAAGAAGATTGAAACCCAACTCTCAGAATTCTAGAATTCTTGGTACTGCCACTTATCATGGTATAATCAAAGGAAACTGGGTTGGAAACTAGGAGACCAGGGTTCCGTCCCAGCCATCCTACAAGCTATGCAATTTGGAGTCCATTTAAAAGTTTCTTTGCTTTCCTGGACCTGTTTTCTCATTTAGAAAATGAGTGAATGGACTCAAATGTTCTCTAAAGTGTCTTCTTTAATGATCTATATTTAATTCTAAAATTGACCTGTATGATAAATTATTGAGGAAAATAGCCACATTATGTAATGATATATTTGCTTTATCTAGGCATTAGATTGCAACTAGGAGCAAGCCTTGTTAATATGAGAGGAATTTTAAAAATAATATTAGGTTCAGATCTATTTCCATTCATTTATTTACACTTTTGGCAAATATTTATTGAATGCCTACTGTGTTCTAGATAGGATGCTGGGAGTTCAAAGACAAATAAATACAGCTTTTGTGTAGTGAAAGGGAAACAAAATAACATTGAAAGATAGAAAACAACTATTACTTATAGTCTACTTCTTGAATCATCTTTATATGATTTAAATCACATTTTCCTGATTTATTGACTATATTTTCTGAAATGAACTTTTACTGTTTCCCTTAAGCTATACTGTCAAAATAATTATTTAACTCTAAATACATGTCTTATTTTATTATAATGTTTAGGACATCATTAGATGAAAATATAAAGCAACTCCCTGGTAATTTAATGCCATTTGTTCAAATATTAATTATCATCTTAAAAATTTAAAAAATAGGTCAGCTTTGGTCACACTCTGCTGCTGAGAAACTGGCATATTCAAGCCACACAAACTTTATGACATAAATAATAACAGGAAATGTGCTTTATTAACAAGAAATGAAGATCCACTGCTTGCTACACAAGCCAATTTTGAACGCTTAGTTCATAACTGATCAAATTCCTTTTTTTTTTAAGATTTTATTTATTTATTTGACAGAGAGATCACTAGTAGGCAGAGAGGCAGGCAGAGAGAGAGAGAGAGAGAAGCAGACTCCCTGCCAAGCAGAGAGCCCGATTCGGGGCTCCATCCCAATACCCTGAGATCATGACCTAGGCCGAAGGCAGAGGCTTAACCCACTGAGCCACCCAGGCCCCCCCACCTTTTTTTAAATAGTCTCCACGCCCAATGTGGAACCTAATGTAGGGCTTTAACTCATGACCCTGAGATCAAGACCTGGACTGAGATCAAGAGTTGGACACTTAACTGACTGAGCCACACAGGTACCCCAACTCATGAAATTCTTGCACCAATAGACAAAAAAATAAAATGGATGAAGAAAATGAGCATTTAAGGGAAAATAAAATAGAAGAACGATTCATGATAATTAAAATTATCTTCTACAAATCACTATAAAATGATATTGAGGAAAACAATCTACATTTTATAGTAAAGATTACATACGTATTTGGTAATCATGGACTTTTTGAAATCTGTTGAGATCTTATATAATACTGGGGAAAGAGGAAGTATACTATAAAAAGTAATTCCGAAATAAGACTAAACTAAATATACTGAGATTCTCAAAATATATTTATTTGGTGCAAAAAATAACTTCTGTGTATTTAATACAAATTATAGAATAGGTTTTTTTAAAAAAAATCCTTTTATTTCTATTGATATTTCAACAGAAATCATGTAATAGACTTTATCTATAACTTCTATGTTTATAACCTATAAAATGCTGCATTAGTTTTATTTTGTTTAGGGTCAACTTAATTGAAATAAAAAGAAACACATTTTCATTTACCTCTTCAACTTTTCATGAAGGGAATCACATATGATGGAACTCTATAATTTAAGGCTTGTCATAACTAAAATAAGTTGCTACCCAACTATTATTAGGCTTTGTTTGTATACTTAACAATGACAATAGAAATACTGGGTGTCTTCTGATAATTAATGACTAGCTAGAAACAGTTGATTGTCCTGTTCACTAATCCCCAGGAAAAAGTCTCTAATGAAAGTCAGTATTACAATTCTTAAAATACCATAGATAGAATGATTTGTAAGTTTAGTTGAAATGCATTTCACGGAACTTAGAAAAAGAATCCTAAATGCATGATAGTCCTATATTTATCTCAACTGGCTTTTTGTTTATAATTAACATTTTAAGAAGTGGTATAAGTTCAGAGTGAGAAAACATACTAATCTGGTCAAATAAGTCTAACACTTAAGATAATAACTACATTCAAAATAATAAATACTAATATTTCTGAGTACAGCATTACACCAGTCTTTAGAAATTATTCTTTATTGTCTATGGAATAAAATATCAACTCTTCTGCCTAGTAATCAAACCCTGTGCTCACCTAACAAACATTACCTCTCATGTCTTTGCACCTTTCCACAAGCCAACTCACCATTGCTTACATGTGCCCTATTCATTTCCACAGTAGCTTTACCCATGGTGCTGCAGAGAATAAGGTGAATTTTGTAAAAATCACCTGGCAAGAGGCTGTTGGTTGGGTTAAGCCTGAAAATGAGGGTGAAGTTTATTTTGGTATGAAATACAAAATTATTTTTCAACTATCATTATAAATGAATGCAGAAGTGATAAAGCATTTCCAATTATTTTTTGCTTATGTCACACAGAGAAAAGTCAAAGTTGGTTTTTATTTGCTGTTCTCTTCACTAAGTTTTTCTTTTTAGGGTTAAAAAAATTGACTTTATATATTTCTTAGATAGATTGGCTTTTTTATTTTTTTAAGATTTTATTTATTTGACAGAGAGAGACACAGTGAGAGAGGGAACACAAGCAGGGGGCTGGGAGAGGGAGAAGCAGGCTTCCCGCAGAGCAGGGAGCCTGATGCGGGGCTCAATCCCAAGACCTTAGGATCATGACCTGAGCTAAAGGCAGACCCTTAATGATGAGCCACCCAGGCGCCCCAGTTGGCTTTTTTTCTAAAACACATATTTTGGGATGTCTGGGTGGCTCATTTGGTTAAGCCTTTGGCTCAGGTCCTGATCCCAGGGTCCTGGGATGGAGCCCCACTGTAGGGCTCTCTACTCAGCAGGGAGCCTACTTCCCCCCTCTCCCTCTGCCTGCTGCTTCCCCTGCTTGTGCTCTTTTTCTTTCTCTCTCTTTCTCTGTGTCAAGTAAATAAAATCTTTTAAAAAATAAAATAAAACATAAATATTTCTCAGATATAATTAAAACAATTCTTTATTATAGAGATAAGGCCTAGTCATGCTTCTAAGAACATTACCTATTAAAATGTCTTTTTTCTCTGTTAAAATGAAGATTGACTGTTTTTAGAAGTGCTATATTAATGTCATAGAATAAATCCTAAATTATAATCATAAAACAAATTCACCTAAAACTTAAAAGACAAACATCTCTTTTAAGCATTTTGTTTCCTAGAAATCCCAAATTCTTCCTTTTACAGATCTATGCAGCTTCAAGTATATTTTTTTATACAGCTGGTGTTCAAATTTCAGATTAAATTTTAAATTAAAATTAAATATAAACACTATAAATAGAGATAGTAATGTAACAATGACTAAGCCAAATGTTTGGCCAGTATGCTCTATAATACTAGATTATTAAAGACTTAAAAATTAAATAGATTCACCTTTATGGGGACTTTGTGAATAGTACATTAATTAATTGATACAAAGCCCTAGATACTGCCTGGCACATAGTAAGGTTCAATTAATTATTATTAACTGGAATGTTATCATAAAACATATCTTAAGTTAGTATCAGTAAAAGTTCTCATTCAATATCTCCAATTACATATAAGCTATTGAGACCCCAAGAAACAAGGCAGTGGCGCCGTACTTAAATTTTAAATATACCAGTGGAGTTTTGCACATATGGTGTCTCCATGTTAGTGTGTCTAGTATTTTTGAGTTTTCAGCAGAGTTTATTTTTGATCACATACAGCACAACATTGCCATGCAGAATGGGAAACTGGATGGAAGCAACTTGGAAGGTGGCTCACAACAAGCCCCATTTACCCCTCCCAACACTCCGGATCCACGAAGTCCCCCAAATCCAGAAAACATTGCACCAGGTAACTATTCCCTTAGAAACAATAAATAAACAATAAGTAAAATAAACAGGATGAAATTGCTCTGCACTTAAATCTATGACTCAGGTCATCTGGATGCTTTAGTAAATGGTATCTAAATGACATGGCTTTACTCATTACATGTCTATTTTGTGGTTAAGTTCAAGATAAATATAAAGATTCAGATCTAAGGAGTCATGTTAAACATCTACTATGTTCTTTCAGATGGTTCTTTATATTTGTTACATTAAAAATTGAGTCACTTATAATTACATTGATATTCTATTTGTATAGGACTATAATTTATGAAGTGCTAATCTTGTCTTCTTTAATTTCAAAATAACTCTGATATATTTATTACAGTCCTCATTTTACAAATTAAGAAACTGAGGTCACAAATGGTTATAAACTCATTGATTGATCAAGAATTAAATCCAGTTACCAAATTTACAGATGCCTTGTGAAATTGACCTTGTGGAGATTACTGTCATTATTCTCTGCTTCCTTAAAGGACGTTAAATGCAATTCTTCAAGATTGCCTATTTGTTTATTATCTTAAAAGAGAAATAAATCCTTATCTAATGAGTATATGTTACTCAGAAATATTGTTAGATTTTGAAATATTAAATGTCACAAGAATTACCTACTAAGACAACACCGTTTCAAAATAAATGACAGCAAGTACCTTCAAGTATTCCCTCAAGAGTACTGTACAAAGTAGATTTTTTAAAGACCTGAAATTAGCAATATCTATGTCATATTTTTGTAAAATAAGCAATAAATTTAGCAAAAGCAATTCGAGTTCTTCTCAAATAGCCAGTTTTTGAAAATATGTAAGTAAAGCAACTGTACCATATTGAATCTTACTTAAAAATAAATTAACTCAGTCATTGGTGTGTTTAGATTTATTAGGACATTCTTACTGAACACCATGAGAAAAAGTACTGATAGACAAAATAGCCCTGAAGGAGACCAAGAACACACTTAGAATGCATAGAACTCTTAAGTGAAGCATCATAATAAAGTTGTCAAATGGCTTTAAAGTAGCCTTTTTTTTTTTTTTGGTGGCAGAAAAGCAGGTAACAGATTCTACATATACAGTGTTAAGCACACAGGAGAAAAACAAGCCTAAGGATCAGATAGACCTGGGTTTAACCTTCTGGCTCCAACCATCCCTGCCCATTTTACTACTGTGTTGGAAAAGAAAGTAACTCTCTTTGAGTCTCCATTGTCTTCATCAGTAAAATAAGCAAAACAAATCTCACTGTACAGGGTTCTGAGAATTAAGTGTGATAAGTATAATCCCAATCATATAATAAAGTACAGTAGTCCTCCTTATCCACAGGGCATACACCCAAGACCCCAGTGGCTTCCTGAAACTGTGGGTAGTATCGAATCCTATATATACAAGGTTTTTTCCATACATACATACTTAAAATAAGGTTGCATTTATAAATTAGGGACAGTAAGAGGTTAACAACAATAACAAAATAGAACAATTATAACAATACACTGTAGTAAAACTTATGTGAATGTGGTCTCTCTCTCTCTTTCAAAATCTCTTATTGTACTATACTCACCTTTCTTGTGATGATGTGAGATGACAAAATGCTGGTGTGGTGAGATGAAGTGAGGCGAATGATGTAGGCACTGCGACATAGCGTTAGGCTATTATTGACTCTGACCGTGAGTCAGAAGAAAGAGCAGCTGCTTTGGGACAGGACCAGACGGAACCAGGATAACTGCCTTTAACTGAAACTGCAGAAAGTAAAACCACGGATAAGAGGGATACTACTGTATTTAGCTAAAGTTAATTCTTTCCCTATCAACTTTATATCCTTAAAACAGAAAAGAACACACATACACATCCTTTTAGCTCCCACCACTATTTGACAACCTTCTGATTTCTAATGTTTAGAGTGTTTTTTGTTTGTTTTCTTAAATAGTAAAGAGAAGATATACAGAAATGTTTGTGTTGGTTCAGTCTGGTACTCTCAACACTGTGTTAGAACTTTTGTTATATGGTCATCATTGTAAACCATATCATGGCAAAAGGAATAAAAAAATTCATCTCTACCCTCAAGGAATTCACCCTTGAGACAGTACAAAAGTTCATGTTACATTTGTTGTCTCACTTTCTCTCTGCATATATAATTTAATATCTTTTGCATTTTATTTACTGTCAGGAATATATATATACACACAAATGTGTAAATATTTATACATATATAAATAGAACATTTAAAAGTATAAACTCATACAGTTCTTTAAATCTAAATATCCAATTATTAAATATTAGGAAATGTCTATGTAACATAGACTAAGAAAAGGGGGAGTGTGGAGTATCAGGTAGTTTATCCTGAAACAGAGCAATGGACTCTTCCTTCTTGGTTGATAAGTTTAAAAGTATAGCAAACTGAAGAAGCAAACTTAAGCTTATCCTAATTTAGCAAGAATTATCCTTGGTTATCATACTATGTATCCAAAAGCTTTTTGAAAATTTCTTCAAACATGAATCAATAAGAGTATTATGATGCCATAATATTGCAGGAATTAAGTTCTTTGAATTTAAATCAGTTATGTTAAGGACAGTATTTATATTATCATGTAGCATTGTTGTAATGTAATATATCTGAGAACTTAAACATATTACATTCTTTCCTGTACATAATTCAGCATATCAAAAAAGAGCTATTAGTTAATTCTATCTATAAAAAGAAATTAGAAAACCAGGAATATTTTAAAAATGTGAAAAGATTAGACCCCTTATCATCTTTCAGTGTAGTAGGTTATTATGAAACTCTTATGAAAGTGATTATAAACATGAAAATATTCTAAGCAAACTTGGTTAGGAATAAAAAATACTAGATAGAAGGTTTATTAGAATTACAGTTATGTGATCATTATGTTTATGGGTGAAAAAAAACTGAGAAAAAATACACAAAGGTAAAATAATTGTATTAGGGTAGTGGGATTTCAAGGCATTTTTTTAAAATATAAAATTCTAAAATGTCCAGTTTCTAGATGGTTGATATCTGATCACTTTTAGGAAAGGAATGGGAAATAAAATGTGCTAGTTATGATAATGGAATTCTGTATACCATACAAATGGAAAGCACAAGAAAAGTAACTCTGCTTTTCTGGGGGAGATAGGAAAGGTTAAATAGAAGAGGTAACCTCAAGCTAAGGCTTAAGGTAAGAATTTGCAGGTAGCAAGAATTAGAAAGAGCATTCCAGGCACAGGGAACTAATGGAGCAAGTAGAGAACCATAAGGGGACACAATATGTGTTAAGCAGATCCAAGTTCTGGAGCATAAAAGTGTGAGAGGAGAATGGCAGGAGCTGAGGCTGTGCTGAGTAATCTAGGTTTTTGTCATGGGTAGCCATCATAGCACCTTGGGAAAGGGAGGTCAGTGACATGATCCAGTTTTCCAGTTGGAAAGGTCACTCAGGCAGCACTGTGGAGAGTCAGGGGAGGAGTTGGGAGACTAAAGGATGAGTATGAAGACTATCGTGAAAGCCCAGGCAAGGGGTGGTCAAGGCCTGAACCAAGGCAGTAGTAAAGGAAATGAAGAAAGAAGAAGGAATTTTCCAGAGCAAGTTTTCCCAGTGTTCTGTTTGCAAATCCCTTGCTTAAGATCTATAAGCCATACTTGAGACTTACTAAAGCCAAATCTCTGGAAGGAAGAACCCATTTAGCCCAAAGTGACTCAGAAATGAAGTTGAGAATTCTTAGGAAGTACAGCTGTACTTGGTGATCTGATGTGGGAAAGAGAGGAAGTTTAGGATAATGCTTCTATCTTGGGCATCTGAGGGTAGTGTTGGTATTCACCAAGGATAACTAATATAAAGGAAGAACTAAGTAGAAAATGGCTACATATAGGTCAAGACAGATTATTAAGGATGTCAGGGGATATTCATTTGGACAAATATAATGGGAGGCTGAACAGAAGAGCCTGGAGATTTAAAAAAAAAGAATCATCAATATGTAGGTCACAATTGTAACCAGGAATATAAATGGAATTTTCTGGGGAGAATGTATAGTATAAGAAAAGAGCTTTGAGTAGCTAAGTGGCAAGCATCAAAAGAGACTACCGTGAGATACTGGAGGTAACCAAAAGAAAAATTAAATTACTGCAAACAAGTAACTGCCTAGAGGCGGCATTATCAGCAAGATATTTTGGAGGAGATCAACTCTTCAGTGTAAAGAAAGGATAGACATGATTGTACAGGAGAAAGCAGAAAACATTTTAGAGAAGAGAAAGAGCCTCAGAAAAACCTAAAAGTAAGAGTGAACAAATGGTAAAGGGTTTTGACATCGTGGAAAAAAGAATTAGGCAAAGGACACAATAAGGTTGTACGGTGGTGTAGTTGGAGAGTACCCAGCTGCCTTTGAGTACTTGAAGAATGTCACTTTGATGCAGGTGAAAGCGGTTTAAAGTTGATGCCAGAAATTTGTGTGATTTTTAAATGGCACTTACAAAAAATTTCCAGCTCCCAGAAGAAGTTGAGGAGGTGAGACCAAGCAGAAAAGTTAGGTAAGAAATCTTTAGGAACAAAGTAAGCATGGGATGGGCACACCGGAGAATAAGATTGGGGCCTGATTAAGGCAATGGAAACAAGTTATTTCACCATTTTGAAGTTTAAATGGTTTGCAGATCACTTAGCAATTTAAGATAGACAAGACCTAAAAATTACCTCTACCAGATCAGCCCCCAGAGGAGGGAGATTTTGTCTTCCCTGATCCTTCCCCAGCAGCTAGACCACAGTAGACACTCAATATATATTTTTAAGTTAATTCATACACTCTGATATCTAAAGCCTACTATAAATTAATGTAAGGGCGGGGTGCCTGGGTGGCTCAGTGGGTTAAAGCCTCTGCCTTCAGCTCAGGTCATGATCCCAGGGTCCTGGGATGGAGCCCTGCATCGGGCTCTCTGCTCGGCAGGGAGCCTGCTTCCTTCTCTCTCTCTGCCTGCCTCTCTGCCTACTTGTGATCTCTGTCTGTCAAATAAATAAATAAAATCTTTAAAAAAAATTAATGTAAGGGAAACAATTTTTACAATTAAATGAATAGTTGCACTGAACAAATACATACTAGGATAATCAAGGAAGAAATACTTGTATGATTTGGTATAATTAAACATAAGGAAAAGTGGTTTCTTTTGAAATTCCATAAGTTTAAAGGGGTTAAAAATGTCTTACAGTTTCAGACTACTCTTTTCTAAGAGAGCATAAAAAGGATGCATTCTTCATAAGTTCACCCCCACTTGAAAAATTAAACATGGTAAAATGTTAGGTGGAGTTCAGTAACTCCTAGGCGCTCTGTATTTATTTATTCTTGCTATATTTTTCCAAAGGATATTCTGGACCACTGAAGGAAATTCCTCCTGAAAAGTTCAACACCACAGCTGTCCCTAAGTACTATCAGTCGCCCTGGGAACAGGCCATTAGTGGTGATCCGGAGCTTTTAGAGGCTTTATACCCTAAATTTTTCAAGCCTGAAGGAAAGGTAGAACTGCCTGATTACAGAAGCTTTAACAGGTAATCCAATTATCCTGGGTGATACTGTTGGCATCTAATACCGAGGGTTTTATATCATAGTATGGAGAACTGAATTCTCTGGAAGAAAAAGAAATTTTAATAATAGATTCAAAATAGTCATACAGGATAACTCCTAAGCCTAGGTTAGGACCTATTTTTACAATATTACATATTTACAATATGGCAAGACTTGGGTTTTTTTTTAGTACAAAAATGAAGGAAATGTTTCAGAAACCATCACTGTTAAAATATCAAGATTATTTCCCACATTATTAAATGTTTTTTAAAACATTTTTATTAAAAAGTTTTATTAAGAAGTTTTTTAAAAGGGGCGCCTGGGTGGCTCAGTGGGTTAAGCCGCTGCCTTCGGCTCAGGTCATGATCTCGGAGTCCTGGGATCGAGTCCCGCATCGGGCTCTCTGCTCAGCGGGGAGCCTGCTTCCTCCTGTCTCTCTGCCTGCCTCTCTGCCTGTTTGTGATCTCTGTCTGTCAAATAAATAAATTAAATCTAAAAAAAAAAAAAAAAAAAGAAGTTTTTAAAAAAATTAGTAATAATTTCTCAAAGGTTGATATTAGCTTTTATGTGTTGATTTAAATGAGAGTGCTATTCAAGAATTTCAGAAATAATTTACATATATGACTATGATAGTTGCTGTATAACTCTAGGCTCCAACTTATATTTTTTAAACCAGATTAAAGTTAATTTAAGGAATTATGGTCTAAGACTTCAGTATATGTATCACCAAAATTTATGCTACTAAAAATATTGCCAAATATCTGCATGATAGTATTCACAATAGATATCTAGTTCTCCCTATTATCCAATTTTAATAATTCATAATAATTAATAATAATGGGTATTTTAGATATATATTTTAATGGTCTCCTAGTCCATTCTTTGATCATTTGGTTTTCATTTTTACAGTAAAGTATTTTTAGTGTGGGGGGGTGCCTTGGTGACTCAGACTGTTGAATGTCCAACCCTTGACTTCAGCTCAGGGCATGATCTCAGGGTGGTGAGATCATGCCCCACGTCAGGCTGGTGCTGAGCATGGAGCCTGCATAAGATTCTCCCTCTCTCTCTCTCTTTCCCTCTGCACCTTCCTGTCCCTCTCTACCACCCTTGCTCACATACATACTCCCTCTCAAATAAATAAATTAATAAATAAATAAATAAATAGAAGTATCTCCAGTATGCTGTTTTGCACCCACAGAAAAGTATTCTTAATTTATAGGCTGCTTAATGACTATTCACTTGAACATTAATAAATTAAGGAGTAAGTCTTTGATTCACAAAAGAATACCACAAAGTCTGCATTTAAATAGTGATCTTCTTTAGTACTTTTAAAACTATTACACTATTAGAATGTTAGTTTTCACATCCTACTATTGTAGTGGTATTAATATTATGCTTCTTATTAGTAATAGAGCTACTAGGATTGCTCCTAATACTATTACTAATTGGTAACGCTAATAGCATTAGTACTACATCTACTGCGTAAATGAGGTATACCACAGAATTTAAGGAAGGATTGAGGAGTGTCTGGGAAAGGACACTGGATGGCCACTGTAATCAACGATAGAACTTTCTCCCACAATGAGAGTGTAGAAAATTACAAAAAGTAAGACATTAAGGGAAAATGGAAAATAATGGAATACTTGAGGCTTGTTTCTGAGATTAGTGCTTTAGAGATGTTGTGTGACTTCTTGTGCACCTTGTGGCTTTCCTATCCCATGCCTGCTGAGCAACTTGCTTCCAGTTTTACAAACACACTGGGATATTTGGGTTGGCTATAAAGAGATGCCTATTGTTTGTATAAACACCAAATGAGTGCTAGTTCAGTGAGAGAGAGAAAAAGAGAAGTTAACCTGTTAATAATTCTCCTTTCCTTGAAAAAATTTTCTTTTTATATACACATCAATATATAAATAAAAACTCCAGAACTTAATGTTAATATTACAGCGTATTCTTAGATTCTTTTTTATGAACATAGTTCGGTATAAGTCAATGTACCTTTCATTATTATTTTAATGTGTACAAATGTCTTTTCATACAGATATGCCAATATTTTAGTCATTGTCACTGGTTTTATAAGACAATAAATAAGGACTGATCAAATTTTAAAGAAAATTTGAGTATGGTTGACACATGATATTACATGAGTTCTGGGTGTACAACACAGTGCTTAGGCTATGCTCACCACAAGTGTAGCTACCATCTATCACCATACAGTGCTATTATAACACTATTGACTATATTCCTTATGCTGTACTTTTAGTCACATGACATTAGTTCTATAACTGGAAGACTGTATCTCCTGCACTCCTTCATCCATTTTGCTCATGCTCCCAACACCCCTCCCCACCTGGCAACCACCAGTTTGTTCTCTGTATTTGTAAGGCTGATTCTGCTTTTTTGTTGTTGTTCATTTGTTTTGTTTTGTTTTTAGATTCCACATATAAGTGGAAGCATATGGTATTTTTCTCTGATTGAGTTCACTTAGCATAAGTGAAATTCTAAGTGAAATTCACTTTAGGTCCACCCATGTTGTTGCAAATGACAAGATCTCATCCTTTTTTTACGGCTAAGTAGTAGTCTGTTGTGTATATTCCAGTGGAATATATACCACATCTTCTTTACCCAATCATCTACTGAGGGACACTTGGGCTGCTTCCATATCTTGGCTATTGTAAATAATGCTGCAATATTCTTAGATTCTTTTTTATTGTTAAATAACAGATGAAACAAAATATGATACATAGATAATCCCAAACAGGTAGCTTTAAGAGTCTTTTTGCCTTAAAGTAGATGTATCTGGCTACACAAAATTTGAGGCCTTGTCTGTTGCATACATTGCTCTAAAAGCCTACTTAACAAACATTTAAACAGTATAACCATATCTTTGCCTTGAATGCTTGCTAAATAAATGAGCCTATAAAAAATTACATGGGTAGGAAATGGAAATCTGTTTCTAGCTACAGAAGACTGGTTTATATTAGAACAACTTCAAAAAAATAACTAGAAAATCTAGTTATTATAAAATGTTTGAAGACTTATCAAGGAATTAAGGACTTAAGGGCCAAACTAGACATGAGGTAAATTTAGAGAAGTAAATTCACATTTGGTACCACTTTTCCCTGTTAAGGATTTTGCTGATTTATTGGCCACAGCTAGTAAGTAGAGAAAGTAAGCAAACTTTTCAATAATCTTGAATCTGGGAAGGCCAAAAATAGGAATATAGGGTCTGCTAAGAGGAGAGGCCCAAACATTCTAAGCTTTTAGTTGGGATTCTTACAGGCTATCCCATTGGAATAAAGGTGAACAAATAATAGATCAGCTTTCATGAAAATAAATACTGGTCCTAATCAACACAATCCTAGGTTGGATAAAAAAATCACCTCCTTTACGTCAAACTGCCTGCTGTGGCCAAAAGTAAATCAGCATCTTGCATCCAATGGATAACCATATATTCCTGAACTCCCATGAGTGGGTGCGAGGCCTGTGCAATTGCATGGGGTGCCCATGCTTTGAAGGGTCATGATTGGTTTTTCAATGCTTTGTTGTCTTTAATGTGAAATTCTTAACAATTTTTTAGCAAGAGCCCCAGGTTTTCATTTGGGGCCTACAAATTACACAGCTGGTCTTAATCCAAGGCTCCAAGCTTAGGAAATGGTTATTGACCAATCAGGTGGACTAAGGTGCTTTTTACCCTAAGCTTCTCCGCATGCAGGACACTCTTGCAACTACCTTATTAAATGATATGTTTTTTTATCTTCATGTTTCACTCTTTACTTGTCCATAAGATCTATTGCAATCTTTCCGTCTTTGAATTCTGAGCACATAGTAAGGTGTTTAGACATAATAAGCCATCAGTAATTTGTTGCATGAATAAATGACTGAAGCAACAAATAAACAAACTATTGATTACAATGGCCATCTTCTAAAATGATAAAACACTGTCTTGGACATCTTGCACATCCAAGGATAAGTATTACTTATGTACTGAATCAACTCTGAGTCATAAAGACTCTTCAATTCACTAAATCAAATGACAAAATGTGAGACATTGAATCAGCTAGTTGCATCATGAATGGGACAGCAACCTGGCTTGACATCACTTAGACACAGCCCAAGCAGGGTGACATACCTAAACACACTGCTCTACTTAGCAAATGATCTCAGAAGGCCCCATATACCCCAAGAATTATCTCATGAGGGTGTGGTATAGAGTAGTGACTAGAAAAATAGGACTCATGGGAGACTGGGTTTAAATCCTCACTCTACAACTTAATAGGTGGGGGACTTTGGGCAAGTCATTCAACTTAGCTGTGTTTCTGTCATCTATTAAATAGGGATATAAGTAGAACCAATTTATAAGGTTGTGAGTATTTAATGAAAAAAACAAACAAACAAACAGGCAAAGCCTTTGTCTTCAAAGTTTGACCCACAGGCCAGTAACACTGACATTACCTGGGAATTGGTTAGAAATGTGGAGTCTCAGGACACACACTAGACTGATTGAATTAGTGTCTGCTCTTTAACGAGACCCCAATGTGACTCCTTTATCAACAGAGTTTGAGAACCATGTAAAAAAGGGTCTGATATATTAGTACCTAGTCACTAAATAATAGCTGTAATCATTATTATGCCTTCTGGAGCTTAATAATGATAAAGAACCTGAAATGATAATCTAAATTCTTTGAGTTCTTTTCTAAACTGATCTCTTTTACCTCCAGAGTATCGTTTTAGGCCCTGAATGTGAAAATCTATATGGATACCGTTGCTAAGTACTACCTTGGACTGAGGTTACTGCACCAATCAGTGACCTGTTATTATCCATATCTACCATAGCAATTTGGGGGAAATATCATCAGGTCAGTCAACCTGAAAACAGATGCAACAGAAAATAAAACATACTGCTCATCAGAGAGGAGCAAATTAGTGGAAGATAAGAAAATGTTGGGAAACAAGACAGAGATTCTATACCATGGACCATCTGTTCAGCCATTGTTGAGATCCTCTATCCACTCAATGGATGTTCCCTTCACTGAGGATTTTAGTGTCCAGCTCACTGTCTTCCTCCCCAGGACTATTCTGCTCATACTTCTTGGTAGCTTCACAATCCATATATGATTTATTGAACTCTCCACCCTTTCAAGTCTTTGACTGTCTCATTTTAAGGATGGCTTTCTGAATCCCACCTCAGCTACCCCTGGCTTTTCTTAAAGTTTGTCATTACCAATACCTGTGTTGCCTTCAGAAGCATTTCAAGCACCCTCTTCTCTATCACATTATATCTTTACCTTTCATTTATTCTTTTATTCAGTAAAACTTCAGCTCCACATGTTAAAGCCATCCCACATTTCAAAGTCCATCAATCACTGTCTCCTTACTAAATCACACTCCATGGTCTCTCACTATTGTCACACAGAAATTGAGATATTCAAGAAAGATCACAGAGTGACTGAGCTACAAAGAAAATCAGATCTCTTCCAGGCTTTAAAATAATCTCCACAACATTAGACAATCTGATAGTCTTCCCGGTTCCATTGTTCAAATTTTTATGAGAATCTTCTAGATATAATGCACTATACAAGTATATTGTAATGAGTTACAAAGATATATCAGAGAGAATTCCTGTCCTCTTGGAGTATGGTTTAGCACAAAAATTAGGCAGATATATCAATGGATGTAATGGAAAACAGGAAATGGGGTTACAGGGGAGGTAAAAACAGAATCCATGGAAACTTAGAGGAGAAAGAGCTACTTCTGGCTGTGGGAGATCAAGGAAAGCTTCAAGAAGAAAGCTACATATGTTACTTAAGTAACAAACTTAGAACTTAAAGAACTTAAAGTTTACTTGGAAGTGCAAATTAGAAAAAGTTATAACCTAAAGGAGATATAGAAATGTGGTAATAAGTGTCAGAGTACTCTAACAGAGAAAAAAGAGTATGACTAAAAGTAGGAGAGCATAAGGGAGAAGAGTAAGCAGTGCATTAAATTTGGCTGGAACAAAAGGGACATAAAAAGAGAACAAGACAAACGGACATGATTGACCTTTCCACTGGGATGTCAAAATCGTTTCCCACCCATACACCAAACCTGTTCTTTCTATATCTTCCACCAGCCAGTTGCTAAAACTCTGTATATACAACGAATCCTTGATTTCTACATTTTTTCAACAATTTTTATCCATTTTATCAGAAAATCCTGTTGACTCTACTCCCCAAACCCATCCTGAAACCATCCACCTCCTTCCATCTTCATGGAAAATACCTGAAATTCAAGCCACCATCATTTCTCACTGGAATTGCCACAATATCTTCTCTCCTTCCACTCTTGTCCTCTTACGATCTATTCACAGAGCAACAGCAGTTAGAGTAACATTTACAAAAGTTTAATTAAATTACACTACTCCCCTACTTAACATTTTACAGTGTTGCCCTTCACACCTAGAATGAAATTCATATTCCTTACTTGGACAAAGTCCCATACAATCCACCTCTCTGTCCTCTCTTCTACCTCTTCTACCTCTGTCCTCTCTTTACCTACTTGTCTACCAACATAGGCCTTTTTTCTTTTCCTGACCATATCAACAATATCTCTGCCTTAGATTCTTTGCATTACTTACTCCCTATGCCTGAGATGCTAACATGGCTAATTTCTTACCATCAGATGACAGTTTAAATGTCACCTCTTCAGAGAAGTCTTCCCCAACTAGCTAGCTAGTTATTCATCTATGCCCTAGTAAATTACACTATTTTAATTTCCTGCATACCTCTCATTACTATCAGATGTTTTGTCTCTCTCTCTCTCTCTCTCTCTCCCCATATATATATATATATATATATATATATATATATATATATATAAATTGTCTGCTTCATTAGAGTATAAGAGCTTGGGGTGCCTGGTGGCTCGGTCAGCTAGGTGTCTGATTCTTTATTTTCAGCTCAGGTCATCTCAGGGTGGTGAGATGGAATCCCATGTCAGTGTGGAGTCTGCTTAAGATTCTCTCCCTCTCCTTCTGCTCCTCCCCCATCCCACACATGCATGTTTTCTCACTCTTTAAAAAAAAAAAGAATAAGAGAGCTTGAACTTTGAGCTCACTGTTCACGGTTACATCCCTATCACTTAGAAATGCCTGCTGCTGAATGAATAAATAAATTAATGGCTAAATCAAAGAAAGCTAGAATGTTATGTGGGGCCTTGAATGCCAAAATAAATTGGACTTTATTCAAAAGAAAAATAGGATTTTTTCTTTTGAGAAAGACACACTTCTTGCCTTCAGAGAGCTTATAATTCACAAATTATACCAACCCATATTATAAAAAAACAAACTCAGACCAAATCGTATTATGGGGGGAAAAAAAAAAAAGCTAACAAGCCAAAGTACCATATCATAAGCACCAAATGACTGACACAAAACAATGCATGCTATAGGAATTTGGCTAACGAACAGTGTGCCAGCTGGGATAATTGAGAGAAAGTTGGAACTTAAAGGCCATAAGATATACACATGTGGAGAGAAGGCAGGGAGGAAATGTTGAAGCAGGGAAACATTGTTAGCAAAGACACAAAGGCAAGAAATGTTTTCAATGAGCTCAGAGTATAGAATAGATTAGTTTAGTCCCAAACTGAGGGTACATACAAAGGGACTTTATATTGATGTATTAACAAATATGTTTTATCATAAAAACATTGTTCTAAAATAAAAATGCTTGCCTCAGAGATAAGAAACTGACAATTGTATTAAGAATATAAAAATATTCCCATAGAACTACGAATTAAATTGTTTTCTCTGGCAAGTGAATTTGAAAATTAATTAACATATTCTTTTTCTTTTCACTTCTCACAGAGTTGCCACCCCATTTGGAGGTTTTGAAAAAGCATCAAAAATGGTTAAATTCAAGGTTCCAGATTTTGAGCTACTACTTCTAACAGATCCCAGGTTTATGGCTTTTGCCAATCCTCTTTCTGGTAGACGGTCCTTTAATAGGACTCCAAAGGGATGGATATCAGAGAATATTCCTATAGTGATAACAACTGAGCCTACAGAGGATACCACTGTACCAGAAACAGAAGACCTATGAAAAAAAGTTGTATGTGCCACAAAACCTTCTAAATATAAATGTTGCTGTTTCATTATTCTACCTATTGGCAAGATCACTTACACTCTTCATTAGTAACAATAATTTAATAGCAATTTAGCAATTTTCCTTTGATTGCATTTAAATTAAATCTCAGATCAAACACTAATAAACAATTTGAAATCTTGTTTTAAAAACTTTCAACTCACATGTCTTTATTCATAATTTTGTTTTCACCCAGTCTAAACAATCCGGACTTGTCACTGAGAAAGTCCAGAAGAGTAACTGACAACAAAAGGTTGCATCTTCTTTTCCTTTAATATGAGCTATTTTGATCAAGTGGGATCTAGAATTAAAGAGCAGTGCAAGATATTTAGACACATTTGGAGTTTTCTTTAAGGGATGAAAGCTACGGAAGCCGATGTACAAACATTATGGATGGAGAAAAGGGTTGGAAAGCATTCTTTTCTGGTGACCAGGATAAAATAGCATGTCTGGATAAAGCCTTTTCATTAGTCATTATTAGAATTTCTAAACTGCTTTGTATTTTTTGACCAGCTTTGAATCATGAGGTAACTATTCCAGATGACATTCTCCAAAGTTCAGTTGGGTGACTATATTCATTTAGTATTAAGTCAACCACACAAAGAAACAATGATACAACAGATATTATACTCGTCTTAATGGCCAGGGTATACTTGGAATTCAAGCTCCATAAATCCCAAAGCTGTGTGTTGATTATGTTTTACTTTATGTATACATTTTTAGAGGAGTAATAACAAATGAAATTTATAATAATATAGGTAAAATATACATATGTATGCATGAGAGAGATGTATAATTTGAATTGACAGGGGTTTTTTTTCTGAATCTTTAAATTCTAGTCCTTAAATATTAGGGAGTATATGCTATAAAATATAAAAAAAAAAAACAAGAAATGAAAGAGCACAAAACATCTGAAAGCAAGGCAGCACACATCAATCATGAGATTCGCAAACATATTGATATACAAGGCTCAAACTAATGTAAAGTTATAGATCTGTCTTAAAATACAATAAAGGGAGTAGATAGCATAGAGCTAATAAGAAATAAGTATCAATTTTTCCCATTTCAATTCAGTTAAGAGTTCTGTGATAGAAGGTTATGCCAGAGGAGGAATGTCTCAGCCATAGAAAACTATGCCCAGACTTAAGTTTAGGGAGAGAGGATAGTAAAGAAAATGCCACATAACAACATATTTACAAAAGAATCTGTGTATGCAGTGTTGGAATTGGTGGTTTTAATCATTCACTAGTCTTGTAAGCAGAGAATTTAAAAAAAAATTGTTAATGAAAAAAGTCCCTACAAAGTAGCAATATCAAAATATTGTATTAATACATACTGAAATTATAGAGAATTTATATAATTTAAAATATATCTTTAAGATAATTTAGTTTAAATTTTGGTGTTTATCTGTTTTAAAATAACAACATTGGCATATGTGATGACCTAGATACAAGGCTCTCATCATGACAATTTTCTGTCCATTTTTAGTGTTTTAAAAAATAAAAATTGTCATATTTTATTATACATTGTGATGATATCATTTAGTTTTTACCAGCAGTTTGAAATGAGTTACTATTTCTCATTAAATTGAAATTTTATTGCATGATTTCAATGATCTCCAAATAATTTAACTGTGTGCTCAATGTCATCATTCTGTCAACCACTAAAAGGCAGCCCGGCGATTAAATACACTAGCTAAAAGAACAATACTCCCCCTTCTAAAACTACCATAAAGGAATATTTAAAAAGCGAAAATCTTCAGTTGCCTTTTTTTTTTTAAAGACTGGAGAGAAAATGATGGAATAACTCTCTGTTCACTATTATATTTCTCCCTTTCCTGGAAATGTATATTAATTCTAGCTCAGCTGTCTGACACCTTTAGAAATGCCAAAATTTCACACTCGGGTTGTTACATAATTGAGAATTTGAAAGGAACTTTGAATAGGTTTCCATTGACGTGAAAAGCAGCTAAATCTTTCAGAGTCTGAAGAAATATGATAGTCTATTTAGAACAGCAGAAAGACTGTGGCATCTTTTCCAGACACATTTGTATACATGAAAAATGGAATAAAAGAGAATGAAAATTAAAAGAAAAAGTAAAAGAATAAAAATAACTTTCATTGATGGACTACTAAATGCCAGGCAGTGTACTCACGGTTTTCTAAACACTCCTTAACATATATTTGTCATTTTTTATTTGAATAATTATCTTGCAAGGAAGGTATAATAAATAATCTCAATTTTATATAAGAACATTGAGCCCTGGAGAACTAAGGTGATTTGCTTAATTCTAGCACAAAGGTTTGGTAAGTCTGGCTCTAAAAATATATGCTCCTGTCATTGTTTATCTTCTCTTTCAGAATAAAATTCAGCCTTGAGCTATTTTTTTACATTAGACAAAATAATGATAAATCTCCTTTATCTTAACTTGAGGCAAATACAGCTATAAACTGGACAATTTCAGAGTTATCCTCCAAAGTCACTCAGGCACTCATGATCACAGGAGGCTGTGCTGCTAGGATGTGTTGAATGTGAACTCAATAAAACCAGCAATATGTATGTTTAATATTGAAATGTGAGGACCATGAAGGCAAACTCTGATTAAATTTGCTCATTTCTGCTCAGCATCATGCATCCTTTTGATCTGAGTAATCTTCCTTTCCTTTTCCCTGCAGAGGTGAAGGAGGAAAGAAGAGGAAAGAAAGGAAAAGAATGCATGACATTAAGAAATCTTAAGGTTGAAAGAAGTCATCTAGTGTGATAATACACCAAAGCCATTCCTTTAAAGGAAAATATTTTCTACTTCTCAAAACTTTAGATGGGGGGCACCTGGTGGCTCAGTGGGTTAGAGCTTCTGCCTTTGGCTGGGGTCATGATCTCAGAGTCCTGGGATCGAGCCCCACATCGGGCCCTCTGCTCAGTGGGGAGCCTGTGTTCCCCTTTCTCTCTGCCTGCCTCTCTGCCTACTTGTGATTTCTGTCTGTCAAATAAATAAAATTAAAAAAAAAAAAACCACAAAACTTTAGATGGAACTCTCTCCCTTTCCATTATACCGTTCAACAGACTTCCGGATCATGAAATTATATCTCCTATTTTATGTAAGCCAATTTCCTAATGATCAGCTGGCCAATTGTTCTCTAGATAATAACTAGAGCAGGCGCCTGGGTGGCTCAGTGGGTTAAGCCTCTGCCTCCAGCTCAGGTCATGGTCTCAGGGTCCTGGGATCGAGGCCCGCATTGGGCTCTCTGCTCGGCAGGGAGCTTGCTTCCTCCTCTCTCTCTCTGCCTGCCTCGCTGCCTACTTGTGATCTCTCTCTCTCTGTGTCAAATAAATAAATAAAATCGTTAAAAAAAATAGATAACTAGAGCTACACTAATAACTAGAGCTATGGTTAAAAAGACCATTCTTGGCTTTTAATTCTACTCCCTTCAATCATTTCTCAAAGTTAGGATTTTCCATTTCTTAACTCACTATTCAAAAGCACTTGATAATTAAAAATTACTAATTACTGGTCATTAAAGAATCAAGGCAAATATAAACAATAATTTTGAGTCTAAGTGACCATTTATTGAATCCATTTAAACTTTTACATTTTCTAAATAGATCCATTTATAAATGTTTTAGCAGCTTGGAGATGGAGGGGGGCAATTATTCTTGCAAAGGCTAATGTGGAGCAAAATGTCCAGTCGTGAGTATGAAAAGAACATCCTGAACTTTCCAACTCGGGGCACAGCTGTACCAGCAGACTTATTAATTCTGGAATTTCCTCACTCTGCTGCTTATGCAAGATAAAACTTACATGACATCATTGCAGTTTCTCAGCCTCAACTGCTTTTTATTAAGCTTAGGAAAGTATTGCTTTGAATGCTGCTTTTCTTATGAAAAATACTTTCGACCTCCACATGCTCTATTCTGTAGGAAGAAGGGCAGTTCGCTTTCTATGAAAGGTGGAAGAATGCCAGCTTTCGCCCAAAGAACAAGCAAGGGCAATCTACTGATCAAAGCATTTCACCAACGTATCAAAGATTCTTTGGGAAATTATAATACTTTAAAAAGTTAGACTTTCCATAACTAAGGAAAAAAAAATAAGTAAAATTGTGTAAAGATTTCCAGGGCTGAAGCTGAAGCTGGAGTGTTTATTAAATAAAGAACAGGGTGTGTCTCTATTTGAATTCCTTAGATAGAAGGGCTGAATTTTAACTCAGGACAGAAATTTTTTTCTGCTTTCTCAATAAATGTGAGATCAACAGGAAGATTTGGTATGTATGGGCAGACATGGGCGAAATCAGAATTTTAAGAGGTTATAGTTCAGACCAAAAAGAATGTGCTTATTTTTCTGTACTGTGTTACATTTTGAAACACATTTCAGTGACAGCTGAAGGGGATGGAGATGTGTCAGGAAATAGGACCGGAAAAAGTCAGAAGGAAAAAAGATAAATTCAATGTCATACCCTATTTTAAAACTGCTGATTAAAGATCTAGTATAGAAGCTGCAGGACTAGCAAAATAAGTATAAATGAAAGGGGCAAAAAAGGAATGCCAGAATGAAGCAGGCTGAAAAGAAATACAGGCTAGCCTGCACAGGAATTAATTGTGTTATTTTGTGCTTTCTGCAGGTTTTTCTTCATACCTTTTGAAGTAGTTCAGATTCTACCTGTGCACAATTGTCTAATGTGAATTGTCCCCAAACAGATACTCTCAGCACATCTTCTGTATCATTACTTACTTACAGATAACGTAAAAGCTGTTGTTTGGAAGGTGCCAGCTGGCTGCTGGTCTACTACAAATCAGCGATGTAATCTCAAGCAATTCACTTCACTCTGTCAGTCTTCTCCAATTCTTTATGTGGCTCAAGTGCTACCTCTGCCTGAGACCTTCCCTGACCACCCTTATTTCAGAACATATATTTCTAACACATTATTGTGGTTTTTTTTTAAGATTTTATTTACTTATTTGAGAGAGAGAGTGCACGCACAAGTGGGGGTAAGGGGGAGAATCCCAAGCAGGCTCCACACCCAGCATGGAGTCCAAGGCAAGGCTTGATCTCACAACCCTGAGAACATGACCCCAGCTGAAATCAAGAGTCAGACACTTAACCAACTGAGCGATCCAGGTACCCAATTATTGTGCTTTTTTAAAACTCACGCTTATTATTCCCTAACACAATGTGTTAGTCTGGGTCCTC